TCATGTCTGGGTGAGCAATGTAAATTGCTCATAACTACCTGCAAACCGCCGGAATGTAAACTCGCCGTCTCCCTCCATGTCACCGCAGAGGCGACAATTAAGGGGAGGAGATAATGAGTGGATGAGTCTGCTGATGGGGGAAATACGCCGGCCGTTGCCCATTACTTAAAGTCTACGATTTGGACTACGGAGATCGTAAAGCGAATGGGCAAGGAAAGAAGATGGTCGCTCTCTAGCTAACATGCCTGTCCTGAATTTCATTTGCTGTTTCATGAAAGGGTGTGTCCTCAAATGTCTGACACAGACTCAGCCCCTTGCTGCAGCCTCTCACCTTGTGACTTGCTACAAAGTTACAATGTTGCAGTCTGATCACTGGGGGGGGGTGGAGACTGAGGAAATGCTTCCTGCTGCCTGCACCTGGGTGACACCATTGGAGGGGTGACACCAAAATGACTTGCAGTCATCTTGGTGTCACTCCCCTCTGAAAAGTCGGGCGCTCGGTCATGGACCGAATGCCCAGCAGTATCAGGAGAGAGGAGGGGACCCGGCGGCATACCTCATCCCGCCGGGTGGCTGTCTCCTCCTCTCTCTGCAGGCGTCCATCACCAAGATGGCCGCCGGCAGGTATCAGAATACTGCCGCGCGTGCGTGACAACGTCATCGCACACATACGCGTGGTGACGTCACGCGCATGCGCAGTGACGTCTCGGCGGGGTGACACTCGGACACAGCTCCGGGTGTCACCCTGCCTCGGGACGGCCCTGGGGGGAGGGGAGACTTCAGATACGCTTCCTTCTGCCTGCAGTATACTGATGACATCATCTCAGCCTTGGCAAAGTCACTGACTGGGGCTTAATGACGACTTTTTTTAATAATAAAAGGTAGAATTGTTTTGATACTGTTGCTGTACATTGGGACATGTTGGGGGATTTATTGTCAGGTGATGACAGGCAGGCCCGGATTTCCCACAAGGCCACCGAGGCCCGGCTTCGGGGCGGCAGGGCGCAGAGGGGCATAAGCGGTGAGGAGTCCCCCGACGCCTGCAACATACAGTCCCGGGCGGGTAAGTTGCCTTGTGGGGAATCCGCTCGTACATTTACAGGTGATCGCGGCGATGTCGCAGCAATCACTTGTAAAATCTGTGCAGCCTGTTCGTCGTCCTCCCCCCCGCACTTACCTCTCTCCTCTGGTTCCGGCCGCCGAGTCTCTCTCCTCACTTGCCGTCGATGTGGGGAGCAGAGCGGCCGGGTTAAAAGTAACTTAACCCTGCCGCCCCTGCCATCCGGTTGCCATTCTCTGTTGATGGGGGGGGGGGGATGCGGGGAGGGGGGCGCATAGCAGAACCTGGCCTTGGGGCGGCAGGGATAGTAAATCCGGCCCTGATGACAGGTCCACTTAAAATCTCCGGCATCAGCCACACTGTCTTGGAATAGGTACGCGGGAAGGGAAGTCGTCAGATAAGGACGTTGCTCTGATCTCTGCAGATAAGTGAACAATCTGAGAATCTAGAGAGGAGATGCATGTGTAATAGTCGCAGATGTCACTTTGTGATCTTCTTTTTCTGCTTTTTGGAGAATTTTGACCCTTTAATAGATATATTTGTTTTTTTCCTTCTTTGCAGAATTACGGTCTGGAGACGGAGAACCTGCGCACTCTCTCCCACAAACTCAACGCGTCCGCCAAAAATCTTCAGAACTTCATCACGGGTCGGAGGCGGAGCGGCCACTACGACGGGAGAGCGTCCCGGAGACTCCCCAACGACTTCCTCACCTCTGTGGTGGATCTGATCGGTGCTGCTAAGAATCTGCTGGCCTGGCTGGACAGGTAACATCCCCATCCTGACACCTGAAATACTCTGCTGTGCCTGAGGACTCTGCTCCTTCCTCTATAACTCTCCTCTCCTCATATACTCTGCTCTGCTGGAGGACTCTGCTCCTTCCTCTATAACTCTCCTCTCCTGATATACTCTGCTCTGCCGGAGGACTCTGCTCCTTCCTCTATAACTCTCCTCTCCTGATATACTCTGCTCTGCCGGAGGACTCTGCTCCTTCCTCTATAACTCTCCTCTCCTGATATACTCTGCTCTGCCGGAGGACTCTGCTCCTTCCTCTATAACTCTCCTCTCCTGATATACTCTGCTCTGCCGGAGGACTCTGCTCCTTCCTCTATAACTCTCCTCTCCTGATATACTCTGCTCTGCCGGAGGACTCTGCTCCTTCCTCTATAACTCTCCTCTCCTGATATACTCTGCTCTGCCGGAGGACTCTGCTCCTTCCTCTATAACTCTCCTCTCCTGATATACTCTGCTCTGCCGGAGGACTCTGCTCCTTCCTCTATAACTCTCCTCTCCTGATATACTCTGCTCTGCCGGAGGACTCTGCTCCTTCCTCTATAACTCTCCTCTCCTGATATACTCTGCTCTGCCGGAGGACTCTGCTCCTTCCTCTATAACTCTCCTCTCCTGATATACTCTGCTCTGCCGGAGGACTCTGCTCCTTCCTCTATAACTCTCCTCTCCTGATATACTCTGCTCTGCCGGAGGACTCTGCTCCTTCCTCTATAACTCTCCTCTCCTGATATACTCTGCTCTGCCGGAGGACTCTGCTCCTTCCTCTATAACTCTCCTCTCCTGATATACTCTGCTCTGCCGGAGGACTCTGCTCCTTCCTCTATAACTCTCCTCTCCTGATATACTCTGCTCTGCCGGAGGACTCTGCTCCTTCCTCTATAACTCTCCTCTCCTGATATACTCTGCTCTGCCGGAGGACTCTGCTCCTTCCTCTATAACTCTCCTCTCCTGATATACTCTGCTCTGCCGGAGGACTCTGCTCCTTCCTCTATAACTCTCCTCTCCTGATATACTCTGCTCTGCCGGAGGACTCTGCTCCTTCCTCTATAACTCTCCTCTCCTGATATACTCTGCTCTGCCGGAGGACTCTGCTCCTTCCTCTATAACTCTCCTCTCCTGATATACTCTGCTCTGCCGGAGGACTCTGCTCCTTCCTCTATAACTCTCCTCTCCTGATATACTCTGCTCTGCCGGAGGACTCTGCTCCTTCCTCTATAACTCTCCTCTCCTGATATACTCTGCTCTGCCGGAGGACTCTGCTCCTTCCTCTATAACTCTCCTCTCCTGATATACTCTGCTCTGCCGGAGGACTCTGCTCCTTCCTCTATAACTCTCCTCTCCTGATATACTCTGCTCTGCCGGAGGACTCTGCTCCTTCCTCTATAACTCTCCTCTCCTGATATACTCTGCTCTGCCGGAGGACTCTGCTCCTTCCTCTATAACTCTCCTCTCCTGATATACTCTGCTCTGCCGGAGGACTCTGCTCCTTCCTCTATAACTCTCCTCTCCTGATATACTCTGCTCTGCCGGAGGACTCTGCTCCTTCCTCTATAACTCTCCTCTCCTGATATACTCTGCTCTGCCGGAGGACTCTGCTCCTTCCTCTATAACTCTCCTCTCCTGATATACTCTGCTCTGCCGGAGGACTCTGCTCCTTCCTCTATAACTCTCCTCTCCTGATATACTCTGCTCTGCCGGAGGACTCTGCTCCTTCCTCTATAACTCTCCTCTCCTGATATACTCTGCTCTGCCGGAGGACTCTGCTCCTTCCTCTATAACTCTCCTCTCCTGATATACTCTGCTCTGCCGGAGGACTCTGCTCCTTCCTCTATAACTCTCCTCTCCTGATATACTCTGCTCTGCCGGAGGACTCTGCTCCTTCCTCTATAACTCTCCTCTCCTGATATACTCTGCTCTGCCGGAGGACTCTGCTCCTTCCTCTATAACTCTCCTCTCCTGATATACTCTGCTCTGCCGGAGGACTCTGCTCCTTCCTCTATAACTCTCCTCTCCTGATATACTCTGCTCTGCCGGAGGACTCTGCTCCTTCCTCTATAACTCTCCTCTCCTGATATACTCTGCTCTGCTGGAGGACTCTGCTCCTTCCTCTATGACTCTCCTCTCCTGAAATACTCTGCTCTGCTGGAGGACATAGCTCCTTCCTCTATAACTCTCCTCTCCCCATATATACTCTGCTCTGCTGGAGGACTCTGCTCCTTCCTCTATAACTCTCCTCTCCTGATATACTCTGCTCTGCTGGAGGACTCTGCCCCTTCCTCTATAACTCTCCTCTCCCCATATATACTCTGCTCTGCTGGAGGACTCTGCCCCTTCCTCTATAACTCTCCTCTCCCCTGATATACTCTGCTCTGCTGGAGGACTCTGCTCCTTCCTCTATAACTCTCCTCTCCTGAAATACTCTGCTCAAGGCTGTATTTGCATGCACACCTCCCTAGGTAACGCCCACATGTGATGCGGAGCCTCAATGATTGAAAGAACTGATATCCAATGAATGAAAGGGGGCGGGGCCAGGGACAGTCAGGCTGGAGAGGAAAGCGCTAGATGATGCTGGATGCCCTCCAGCGAGGAAATGAGGCGGAGCTCTATCTGACTTGCTGCAGCTTCTAATGCACATTGTGAGGAGCTCCCAGTGTGCAGTGACATCAGAGGAAGAGGAGCCGGTACAACTGTGCAAGACTGAAGGGGAGGACGGAGGTCAGATGAAAGACTGAAGGGGAGGGCGGAGGTCAGATATAAGACTGAAGGGAAGGACGGAGGTCAGATAGAAGACTGAAGGGTAGGACGGAGGTCAGATAGAAGACTGAAGGGAAGGACGGAGGTCAGATAGAAGACTGAAGGGTAGGACGGAAGTCAGATAGAAGACTGAAGGGGAGGGCCGGAGTTCTCCTTTAAGTCACATTTTCTTGTCACGGGAGGATCTGTGTGCGGCCGGTGAAAGAAATGTGCGTTCACCTTTTCATCTTTCACCTAGCAGCCGGAATGTTTTTGGAATCTGTGAATGCGGCCGGTTCTGTGTTTTCCATCACAGCACAATGTCTGCTCTGCATGAATAGAGTGACCGTGGATGAGGACGTCCGTACATGTCATCTCGGCGCAGCTGCGGGCGATCTGCGTGACCTGGTTCAGTCCGGTCTCATTAGGCTCACGCTGCCATTAGACGATCGGCCTTCCAGGAGGCCGCACAGTTCCCCGCCGCAGAGTGATCTCTGCTTTTATGAATTAGTCACACGCTGTATACAATCATCAAAGGAGAACATACTTAAAGCGCACATCCATTTCTTTCTGCCCTCGAATATCTTCATTCTGCACTTTCTACATTTTACTGGATGACTTTTCTTCCCCGAAATTCATGTTTCTGAACTTTGACCTTTTTATCCCTTTTCCACTTTTGCAAATTCTCAAAAATGTCTTCTGAATCACAGTGCAGCTCACAGCAAAAACTTCAGGGGATATAATCTGAGTATCTAGGAGGATATGACTTTTCCTTTTCTACTCTAAGCCCCACCCACATAATGAGTGAATCAGAACAAATTGCAACTAACTGAGCATAGCATATTTTGTGTCTCTGCCCCTCCCACAATGGTGAGATTTCCCCCAGTAGTTTGTGTCTCTGCCCCTCCCACAATGGTGAGATTTCCCCCTAGGAGTTTGTGTCTCTGCCCCTCCCACAATGGTCTGTTTTCCTCCTAGGAGTCTGTGTCTCTGCCCCTCCTATTTCCCCAGTAGTTTGTGTCTCTGCCCCTCCCACAATGGTGAGATTTGCCCAGTAGTTTGTGTCTCTGCCCCTCCCACAATGATGAGATCCCCCCCAGTAGTCTCTATCTCTGCACCTCCCACAATGGTGAGACCCCCCTCAGTAGTTTGTGTCTCTGCCCCTCCCACAATGGTGAGACCCCCCTCAGTAGTTTGTGTCTCTGCCCCTCCCACAATGGTGAGACCCCCCTCAGTAGTTTGTGTCTCTGCCCCTCCCACAATGGTGAGACCCCCCTCAGTAGTTTGTGTCTCTGCCCCTCCCACAATGGTGAGACCCCCCTCAGTAGTTTGTGTCTCTGCCCCTCCCACAATGGTGAGACCCCCCTCAGTAGTTTGTGTCTCTGCCCCTCCCACAATGGTGAGACCCCCCTCAGTAGTTTGTGTCTCTGCCCCTCCCACAATGGTGAGACCCCCCTCAGTAGTTTGTGTCTCTGCCCCTCCCACAATGGTGAGACCCCCCTCAGTAGTTTGTGTCTCTGCCCCTCCCACAATGGTGAGACCCCCCTCAGTAGTTTGTGTCTCTGCCCCTCCCACAATGGTGAGACCCCCCTCAGTAGTTTGTGTCTCTGCCCCTCCCACAATGGTGAGACCCCCCTCAGTAGTTTGTGTCTCTGCCCCTCCCACAATGGTGAGACCCCCCTCAGTAGTTTGTGTCTCTGCCCCTCCCACAATGGTGAGACCCCCCTCAGTAGTTTGTGTCTCTGCCCCTCCCACAATGGTGAGACCCCCCTCAGTAGTTTGTGTCTCTGCCCCTCCCACAATGGTGAGACCCCCCTCAGTAGTTTGTGTCTCTGCCCCTCCCACAATGGTGAGACCCCCCTCAGTAGTTTGTGTCTCTGCCCCTCCCACAATGGTGAGACCCCCCTCAGTAGTTTGTGTCTCTGCCCCTCCCACAATGGTGAGACCCCCCTCAGTAGTTTGTGTCTCTGCCCCTCCCACAATGGTGAGACCCCCCTCAGTAGTTTGTGTCTCTGCCCCTCCCACAATGGTGAGACCCCCCTCAGTAGTTTGTGTCTCTGCCCCTCCCACAATGGTGAGACCCCCCTCAGTAGTTTGTGTCTCTGCCCCTCCCACAATGGTGAGACCCCCCTCAGTAGTTTGTGTCTCTGCCCCTCCCACAATGGTGAGACCCCCCTCAGTAGTTTGTGTCTCTGCCCCTCCCACAATGGTGAGACCCCCCTCAGTAGTTTGTGTCTCTGCCCCTCCCACAATGGTGAGACCCCCCTCAGTAGTTTGTGTCTCTGCCCCTCCCACAATGGTGAGACCCCCCTCAGTAGTTTGTGTCTCTGCCCCTCCCACAATGGTGAGACCCCCCTCAGTAGTTTGTGTCTCTGCCCCTCCCACAATGGTGAGACCCCCCTCAGTAGTTTGTGTCTCTGCCCCTCCCACAATGGTGAGACCCCCCTCAGTAGTTTGTGTCTCTGCCCCTCCCACAATGGTGAGACCCCCCTCAGTAGTTTGTGTCTCTGCCCCTCCCACAATGGTGAGACCCCCCTCAGTAGTTTGTGTCTCTGCCCCTCCCACAATGGTGAGACCCCCCTCAGTAGTTTGTGTCTCTGCCCCTCCCACAATGGTGAGATTTCCTCCAGTAGTTTGTGTCTCTGCCCCTCCCATATATAATAAGATATGGTGACGTCTCTGTACCTCATCGGCTGAATTTTCGGGGTTTGGGATAATTGTAAATATTTGATGTGAACGGTAATTTGCGGCTCTCACACCTGCTGGAAGATTTCACAGATTCTCCAGGTTGTGAAACATGTCAGCGATAGTCGGGAAGGACACACAACAGCAGCAGCAGTTCCTTCCTCTGACCTCATTTCATGTATTATTTTCTCAGATGATTCCGTGTTTTCTGCTCTTTCCTTATTATCCAAATCAGCGTCCGTGTGATCTTCCCGTGCGATCCTCCAGTGGTGTCACAAGGGGGGTGCGGCCCGCACCCGGGTGCCACCATTGGAGGAGTGACACCCAAATGACTGATAATCATTTTGGTGTCACTCACTATGAAAAGTCAGGCAGTCGGTCAGAGACCGAGAGCCTGACAGTATCAGAAGAGAGGAGGGGAGCCGGCGGCATACCTCATCCCGCCGGGAACGTCCCCTCCTCTCTCTGCCGCCGTCCATCACCGAGATGGCCGCCGGCAGGTGACAATAATCATTTTGCAAGCGGGCGGTGATGTCACGCACATGCGCAACAACGTCACGGCGGGATGTCACCCCTTCTCCACTCTGGGTGTCACCCGGCCTAAGGACACCCCTGCAATCCTCGTGACCTATTGTTTTACATTCTCTGATGGAACATGGAATGATTTCCCCGCACGCGCGTCTCCCCGACACCCGAGAACAAAGTGCATTGTGATACACAGCGGGATATTCACAAACCTTCCGAACCGCAGCTGGGTGAATATCCGAGCCGAAGTGAAGTGAGCCGAAGTGAAGTGAGCCGAAGTGACGTGAGCCGAAGTGACGTGAGCCGAACGGCAGTGAGTGAATAGCCGAATGGCGCCGAGTGGCATTCGGCTCGGCTATTCTGCTCGATACCTCCGACATACCGAACCGAAAAGAAGTGAAAAGAATGAAAAAAAAAAATAGTTTAAAAATAATTGACAAATTGTGAAAATATCTGAAAATTAAAAAATAATTACAAATATTTTAAAGGGGGAAAAAAAAAAACGCAGCACGCCGACCCGACCGCATGCGAGGAATTCCCGACGCATTATGAAGCATCTGATAGATGACAGCAAAAGAAAAACAATTGGGCGGAGCTAGCAGTGACAGCTAACTCCACCCAACTGTGTCCTATTGGCCGGCACCTGCCAGAGTCTTCTAGCAGGTCCAGTAAACCAATAAATAATTACTGGGCCATGACGTCACTGCCAGCTCCGCCCAGTTGTTGTTGTTGTTTAAGGACAGATCAGCGTCCCCAGGTTATTTGGGGACGCTGATCTGTCAATACAACTGGGCGGAGCCAGCCGTGAGACCACGGCTGGCTCCGCC